CCCTCTCCCCCACCCCCCTCCAAAATACTCCCTTACTCACCGTCCTGTCATTCTTCATTTAGAGATGCAGATCCCTCGGAAGTTCTCTTCCTGGAAACTTCTGCCTCTCTTTCAGCCCCATGTGAGATTAAAAAGCCAAAAAGAGTCTCTTAGCTCTCATGTCCAGAGAGGACCAGGGGCACTTGAAGGAGGGACCAATGCTTGGGACCCTTTCAGATTGCAGTATCTCCCCTGGGAGATCTGCAAACACCAAACCCTGTACTGTCTTTATGTCCCTGTCCCTTAATCATGGAAACTCCTCAGGACAGCATATGCCAAAGGCAAAGGGTTCTTGATCCAATAGCCACCACAGACTTTAATGGAGAGAGAGAGAGCACATGAAGCAGACCTACAATAGGCCACATTGTAACCACACCCAGTACTTCTGCTAAACAGAGCCCTCTGAGCCAGGACTGAACTACACCATATTCCCGGATTCCCGCATTCTGAGGCAGCACACCCTCACTTCATTTGCTGCCTCATGTCACGGCCCAGCGACTGACCCCCGAAGATAACAAAGTGCAATTGTATCGACACTTCTTCCAAAGGTCGAATGAAGCCAGCACGTCTGCTGCTCTGGACAATGCATTCAGAACTAATGTCTGTGAACCCTTTGTTATATGAAGGGGAGGACACTGCGAGGGTGCTTAACTCAAACTGAAGGCACATGTCTTCACACCTTTTCAAAGGGGTGGGTGGGTAGGAAGGGGGAACGAGGGCTGATCAGAGTGACACCCAACAATAAAAACTGAAATAAGATGCAGTTAAAGAAACACGATGTAAGTCAGAGATTGTGCCACGATCATTTGTTTTCAAAGGTATTTCTTTGTTTTTTTATTCTCCCAGTTATTTGTCCTGACGTCTTCCACAGTACCTCTTCTGTGAGACTGTCCTGGAGATGCCAACAGTTCTTACCAATGAGGCCATTCCTCACACCGTGCTAATGTTAGCAGGATCTCAGAGACCATGGAATGGGTGGGTGGGTGGGTGTTAACAGACGTTACATTGAATCCCAATCAGCTTCTCTACACATTCCCAGTTAGCATTCGGCGTTGCTGTACAGCCATCGAGAGCAGGCAGACTAGCTCAATGTACTCACCCTGCCCTCAATACATTGAGGCCCATGCAACATTGTGATTATTTCCTCACTTTGTTAATTCAGCATTGCCCCGAGGATGGAGCTGAGGCTATGCTTGGTTCTTATGGTTCAGGATGAATGGCTGCAGTTATAATGATCTACTCAGGCCCTGTAGGATTCTTAGCCCGAATCCATATCCCAATTCCACAAGCAAAATATTAGATGGATCTAATTTCTTGCTCGTTTAAATCTGGTTTAAATTCCCTGATTCCTTTCCACACCCACAACAGGCCAGGTACAGCCTGTGGTGAGGTTCCAAAGCCCATCATTTGCCACGTGGCTGTAAGTGAGAGCAGGTCAGGAAATAAATACCATGTTCCCTTCCCACATCCCACACTGATGCAGAGAATGGGAAAGTGGGGGGATTGAGCAGGTGCCTGAGCTCTCAGTGTTACATTTTGTCTCCTCCGTGCTGTCTGCACTTCCCTGTTGTTTTGGAATGACACCTGCTGTTGCAAATGCCCCTCCAAGTTACTCACCGTCCTGACTTGGAAATATGTCCTCATCCTTTCAGCATTGTGTCAAAATCCTGGAACTCCCTCCGCAACAGCATTGTGGGTGACCCTACAGCACATGGACTGCAGTGGTTCAAGAAGACAGCTCCCCCCCGCCTTCTCAGTGGCGGTCAGGGATGAGCAGTTAATGCTGGTCCAGCTAGTGACACCCCCAGCCCCCTCCTGTGAAAGGATTTTAAAATAAGCCCACTCTCCTTTGGTGGGGCTTCGGGGAGAATGCTGCCCTAAAAGAGGGACCATTTTGTTTTGCCGTTGTCAGAGTGTGCTGCTGCTGACACCATGTCAGAAATGCAATAAAACAGGACGCTTCATTTACTGCACACTAGTGTTTGTCTTTCGACGGCTCTGGAGCTGCACAGTTTCCTGCCCATCGGAAAGTATTGTCATAGCTCAAACACTGTCAGTCTCCTATTGATGACACATGGTCCGTGTGACCATCAGTGAACTCTCGTTGTTCCCGTCTGACTGATGTCTCAGTGCAGACTCCCCTTCCTGACCGTAAAAACCGATCAAATCCCATCAGACCTTTCTGAAGAAGGGTCTAGGCCCGAAACGTCAGCCTTCCTGCTCCTCTGATGCTGCTCGGCCTGCTGTGATCATCCAGCTCTACACCTTGTTATCTCAGACCTTTTAATTCATCTTAAAAATGTGCGTCATTAGCATTGGATCAGTCCTGTCTCTCTTTGCTCACACCGCACCACCCCCCCCACCGCCCCCCACCCCCAGCATCTTCCTATAGCATTGTTTCCAGCATACATCAGGAATAACTGAGCCCGTATCATGTTTTTACACAGGTTTTTGTATACATGTTGGGAGCAATTTGAGGCAATGGTGAATTTGAAACCTTCAGTCGATCAGCCCAATCACCTCCATCCAATTCCACTTTTTATTTCTTTTTGACCCAAGTTAAGTTTGGGTGAATAATTTAACACTTGCATTCTTAATGTATGCTTTATGCTATTTAAAAAGAAATGTTACTACAGCTATTAAACTAAGTATTCCTATCTGTTGTGTATCGCATTGTCCAGGATATGCAAAATAATTGGGATGACGATTGTAAACTTCAGTCGAGCTGGCAAAGATTCAGATTTCCTTTCACAGATTGGGGGTCTTTGGGTCTACAGTTTTCCCATGGCATCTATGTCCTGTCACGTCCATATTGCAGCTGAGATTGGATGTAGAACGTTCGAGTTACAGAGTTGCTGTTTCTATGTAGTTCCCTCTTTGTAAGTCTGTATCCAACTTCAGCATATACATCACCCAGCCTGGAGTCACACTGAGATACAGGAGCACTCAACCGTTCTTCTGTGTTGTAGGTGGGACACTCATAGAGCCATACAGCGCGGAAACAGATCCTTCGGTCCAACCAGTCCATGCCAAACATAATCCCAAACTAAACTATTCCACCTTCCTGCTCCTGGCCCATATCCCTCCAAACCTTTGCTATTCATGTACCTATCCAAATGTCCATCACATCCTGTATCTTCAAGTGGTGGCAGTAGAGACACATTCACTCCTCAGGAGTGAGCTGGCAGCAGTTTATGGGGCAGGGAAATGGTCAGCAGAACAACACTGGGGGACAATAGAGGTGGCAAAGGCTGGGGGTGGGGCAAAACACATGCAGCCAAAGGATTGACTTGATTAGTTAAAATATGATTTCTATTTCAAAGATGTGCTGGCTGTGCCTGATCACATTGTGACACATTGTGATTTCCTGCTATAATCTGCTTGATAATGAATTCTGGAAGTTTCCCAATGACAGGTTTTAGGCAATTTGGCCTACAGTTTCCTGCCTTCTTTCTCAGAAGATCTTTAGTCTTTGGAATTCCCTACTCCAGACTGCAGCAATACAGGCTGGTTTATTAAATAGATTCAAGGCAGAGTTAGATTTTTGATCTACAAGGAAGGCAAGAGGATTATAAATGGAGTTAAGTTTATAATCTGATCAGCCATGATCTTAATGAATGACACAAGTTGCTGAAAGGACCAAACAGTCTACTCCAGCTGTTAGCTGTTGTGGCTGTCCCCACCGTCTCCAGCCTTACCTCCCTCCTGGACACCTTTCACTTGTTTATTTCAAACTCCACCTGTAACTATTCTCGGTTCCAGCTTGCTAAGTTAACCACCAGGCAGCCAAGGTACTAGGATAACAGCTGTAGGACCACCTAGTATGAATGTTGACGATGCTGCTGCAGCCTGTTGTATGTTGGGAATTCATGGTGTTAAATGTCATTGATCAATTCTGCTCCCATCGCACCCAGCAAGACCTTTATCTCATCCAGAAAGATTCGATGACATTGCTGCTGCCGTGATCTGGAGGAGAGTTGCACTGTGGTATTCTCACCACCAGGTGGAGGCAACACACTGTTCCACATTTCACCTTGAACTCGGGAGGCCATTCAGCTCATCGTAGTAGTGCTGGCTCTTTGGAAGAAGTATCTCGCACCCCTCAATCACTCACTACAATCAAGCACTGTATTTCTCTTACAGATACTTTTTAAATTTCTTTTTGAAGTTGTACTTGAATTTATTATCACCACTTTCCAGCTCTCAACAACCCACCACAACTCTCCTTAGGCCCACTCTCATTCTCGTCTAAATTACCATAAATCTGCTGCCAGTGGGACCTTCCTCCTGAGATTGAACTTTGATCCTCAGATCTTCCCGTAACCACCCCTGATCTAGACACAGCCTCAGTTACTTTGTAGACCCATGTTAGTCATAGAGTGGTACAGCATAGGAACAAACCTTTCGGCCCACCGTGTCTGTGCTGACCAACAAACACACAACTACACTAATCCCATTCACCTGCGCTAGGTCCACAGCCTACATGCTGTGGCACTTTAAATACTCATCAGATGCTTCTTAAATGTTATGAGGGTACCTCCATCACTCTCTCAGGCAGCATGTTCCATATTTTTACCACCCTTTGAATGAAAAAAAAATCCTCAGATGCCCCCTAAACTACTTACTCCTCATCTTAAACTAATGTCCTCTGGTCTTAGACATTCCACCATGGAGAA